TGTCTTAATATTTCAATATTTGTATGCACTACTACTTTGGACATGGATACTTCACTACTGTTTGCGGGGAGAGTCGGGAGACTAGCAAAGTTGTCTCTGAACATACAGTGTTCGATGGACATTATTTCACATTTACGACATGGATACACATAGACAGAAAAGTGTTTTGTGTTAATAGTTGTATTCGAGAAAACATGTCCAAATAGTTCTATTGGGTGTCTTCTATCAATCAGAGGAATTTCAGTAACATACTGATATTTCACTTTTTAAAACAGCACTTGGCAATGGTAGCCTTCATATGTTCTAAGCTGCCCGTTTCGATTCTTTTCTGGCTGGCTCTCATCTCATCTTACAGGATGAGGACCAAAACTTATAGTACCTATTATTGTTATAACCTTTTTGGTTTGATCCAGGTGGAACAGCATTTAATGGCGTCGTAGAAGAGTTGAAGAAAGTGACTACCCGGGTTGCGCATGTCCTACCAGTTTCTGATGATGGTGGAAGCACAGCTGAGATTGTTCGTGTTCTTGGTAAGTCCAAATTTCCTACATCATCATTCGTTTGCTTCTATAACCTGAAATAATATATTTAAACATAACAATCACAGTCCAATCTTTTCTGTTGTTGAACGTTAGCCTTCATGTCTTAGGTGGACCTGCTGTGGGTGACATAAGATCAAGATGCTTGAGACTGTCCGATGAAAGCACTTTGGAAGCACTCTCCGTCCGGAGATTGCTTGGGCACCGTTTGCCTCTTGATCCTTCAGAAGCAAAGCTGGAGTGGTAGCAACCCTGCAGTGCTGATCAAAATATACCGTTTTTCATACTTCCTTACTGGATAGCTATAGTTATTGTCCTGCTCTGTGTGACCAAGTGATGTTAAATTGTTGATTTGATAGGTACCATATTGTGGAAGGAGAACACTCTTTATGGGATGGTGTCTCTCGTCCCTACAGGGAAACAATCCGTGCATTTTTGGTCTACTTCCATAATGAGGTGTGCTCCTCTATAGTATATTTATGAAGCATATTGTTTTTGTGAAAAAAACATTTTTTTCATAAGGCTAGTGACTGCAATGTATTCCTGTTGTATTTGTGACATAATTTCTTCTCCGCAGATCCTTCGGCGACCAGTTGAAACATTTTCCTTCACCAATGGCAGGTGATTCTTCTAAGGTGAAATTTTGCAGTAAATCATTATTCTTGGCATTGTGCTTCCACGTGAAACCGCTGTTTGCCTCATACAACTGATGTATACATTTAATGGTATGATGCACATAAACGTAACCTAATGTTGCTTGTGACCTTACATTTTACTAGTGGATTGGGAGCATCGTTTGACTGCTGTTTCTCCCAGCTTGCCTAATTATTTCCCTGACTGCTGTTTCATATATTTTTGCAGCATTGGGAATTTCTTTTTTGCTGGCGCACGCATATTCTTCCAGTCTTTGGATGCTGCGATCTTTTTGTTTTCACGTGTGTCACAAATCCCTGCGGAAAGTCTTGTGCTTCCAGTAATATCCACAAATGACAGGCTTACTCTGGGGTGTGAATTATGGGTAATCTACCAAAGTTTTCTTCCACACAATACAAGTTGTTACTTGCCCTCATGCTGGCGACAATTTATCTGCGCCCCTTCAATTTTATTTTTAAAATAAAGTCATTCTTGCATGTGGAAACTGGCGGATTGTTTTCATTTTCAACATCACTCCTGTGAATAGAACATCCAGTGATACTAAACAATAAGTGTTTTTCGAGAAAATGCAAAAGAGTTTGCGTTTCATTTCATTGAACAGGAAGAGAACAGCACTACAGGTACAACCTCCCAGGAGGAGGGACACACGCACACACACCATCATCCTCACCAAACAAGCAGGTGAGGAGGTGCTACCAACTACAGACCGCAAAGCCGAAAGGTCTTGCCTTGTCCAGCCTCCAACCATGAATGGCGAGGCAGCTAGACTCAGAGCCTCAGGGCCGCGTCACAGCCGTTGCCAGGCGCCTCCGAAGAAGACCACATCTCCAGGTCTGTCCGGGCCAACGTACCTTCCACCCATATGTGTCTAGGAGACGGCAGGTGGATGGCAGGACCCAGCCAGAAGTAGCGAAGCCATCGTCTTGGACATGCCGGCGTCGGCGTACATTGCGCCCCGGGCGCCCACGCTCTATGTTGCAGCCCTCATCACAGCATCGCATTACCAGCAAGCCTCGCCGGAAAGACCGGGGAGGCCACCATCTCCAGCTGCTGCATCGGGGACTCCAAGTGCGACCCAAGCAGCACCTTCAAGAAGGAAACGGTGCTGAGACGCCGGCGCTGCCTTGTCCAGTAAACGGGACCAAGGGTTTCCCCCGGTGCTTGAGGAGAGGGTCCAGTCCGGACCATGGCAGTGCCTCCATGGAGGTAACGGCACCCTCAGGTGTCGCCGTTGTCAGCGCAGGCCATCGCCGCGCAGGGATCCCGCCCCGGCCCAAGACCAGAACCACAAATACTGCCGAAGCAGAGCAGACAGGAGACGGGGAAGCAGATCGCCGGAGAGGACCACCAGCACCGAGAGGGAAACCACGTATCGTCACCGTCGATGTAGGGAAGCACCGGCCAGCGCAGTGCAGCAGCCGCCGGATGGCTGCCAAACAAGGCCAGCCACTGCAGGGGGACGTGTTGAGCAGGGCTAGTGGCGCCGTCGTGGGGACCTGCCACCTGCACCTTGCCGCCGCCGACCATGGCCGCCGCCGCAGCGGCCCGCAGCCTCCGCCACCTGGATCTGCTGGGGCACAGCCTAGCAGCCGCAGCCGCGCCCCCAAAGGGTTGCGCCGTGCCGCCCGCGTGCTCGCCACGCCAGGTCCAGAGGCCCGACCCTCTGGATCTGGGGCCGCCGTCGCAAAACCCTAGTCCCGGAGAAGCACAGCTCCGTCAGCTTCGTCGAGCCCCACGCTCGAGTGGGGAGGCTGCCTGGGAGCGAAGTCCCGCCGCTGCCGGATCCGCTAGGGCTTTGCCCGGCAGGGAGCACCGGCAGGGGGAGGGGGAGGAGGAGAGGAGGGAGCGCTCGAGGGTTGCGGGGGTCAGCTTCAACTCGAGGGTTCCTAAACAATAAGTGTTATCTTACTTCTTTTATTAATATGGAACATTCCTTCTGAATATTTTTGTATTTTCAGGATGGAACTATTATCCGAGGCCAAAATGAAATATCACATCCAAGCAATGGCCGTAGAGAAGTAGTTGACAAGGTACTCTAAATACTAAATAGCATGGTATTTTCAGGCTTTGGTGCTGTATCGTTAGCAGCCAAACACGGCCCAATTTCTGTGCACTCTTCCATGTATTTGCGGAATCTTTTTTTATCTCAAGAGACAGACATGCATCATCTCAACCTTTTTCTTCTTCATATTTCTTCACCATAGCATTGAAGTTCCTCGTGGCCACTGTCCCTTCACACTAAATTTTAAAAACTTAGTATCTATTGTGAATTTCTGTTGCAATAACAAGGTTTACTGTCTGAACTTAACAGTTTCATGTTTTATTCATACCTAACTTAAGTTCTGTGGAGATATTAAGTAGACATCTTGTTCAAGTTCTGTGGAGGGGTACTAAGTGTATATTAGACATCCTGTTCATTCGGACAAATGGAAGTATACAGTGAATACACTTACTTTCTCTGTCCAAATACTGTCATTTTACCAGAACCTTTTTCAAGTTCTCCACCTAATAAAGTGTGTAATGGCGTGGGACATTCTGAAGCTGATTTTGCATGGTAATAACTTCTCGGAATGACAACTGCAATCGGTCCACTGGAAACATCATCCATAAAATTCAGTCTGTTCAACTACAGCTCACCCCACAGCCAGCGCAACCTAAACAAAAAGGTGAAAGTGGAAAAAGGAAGCACCTAAAATAGTAGAATGTGTATATTCACTCGTGTAAAGAAGGAGGATTGTGATAGGCTTGTCGAGCCAACGTAAAAACTCAGCCACTCTTATGGAGATGAAACCCAAAAGATTTTCGTTGGGGCGTAACGCTCTCAGCGCCGCACCACACACCATGAGTTGGTCGCGAGATCTTATGGGTTTCACCTCTAGCCTACCTCAACTTGTTTGGGACTAAAGGCTTTGTTGTTGTTGTTGTTGTTGTTGTTGTTGTTGGTGGTGGTGGTGTTGTTGCTGGTGTTGGTGTTGGTGTTGGTGTTGGTGCTGGTGCTGGTGCTGGTGCTGGTGCTGGTGCTGGTGCTTCACTTGCGCCAACTGGCTTAAATATTCTTAAATACACCTTAAGTGGCTGAGCCTTGATTATTTTTTACCTCTGCTAATATACCAAGGAAAATATTATTGTTGGCAGAAGAAAAGGATTCAAGTATTTTAAGTTAAGGCTCCAAACTGTCACGGTGATGTTGAGTGCTACTTTTTACTACAGTTTCTTGCAAATGTCATGGTTTTGTCCCATTCAAGTGATATTCGTGTTCTGCGTTTCCTCCTTTTATCTGTACATAATTGCTGGTTTCTCGTATGCTTGCTAATATCTTAACTTTTTATTTTCTTGTTTTCTCTTTGGAAAGAACTGTAATTCATGCACCGCACTTCCTTCAAGCATCAAGCGCGTCTTCTACATGTCAAGTGAAGGTTGCAACCTATTGCATGAGGTTAGTACTTAGTACATCAAATTTATCCTGACTAGTTAGACCCTATGAAGCACCGATACAGCATCACAGATACGGCTATACGGATACGGGGACATGGGATACAGCAATTTCAAGAAACAGCAATATGGCGATACAGCGAGTATATATATATATATATTTAATAAAATGCCATGCAGTAAAAACAGAATAATTGAATGTGTGAGATGAGATAGAAAATACTATCCCATTTATTGCCTTCATGCCTCTTTTCACTGCCTAGCAGCAACATCAGCAGGCGAGCAGCATGCAAGAACATCATGAGCACAACAGCCCAGCACTGGTGCACCCAATGGCCAGCATACGCAAGTACACAACACACGCACACACGGGGCAGCAAGTACGAGAGCACACGGCAACAAGTACACACACATCAAGCACGCAGCACAGCACCAGCAAGTGCGGGAGGACCAGACACCAGAGAAAGCAGGGATTGGGATGGAGACCGTGCTGGCCACGGACGGCGGCAGCGGAGAAGACTCCAGGCGGTGGCGAGGCGAGTCCACGGGGCGGCGATGAAGGTCCATGGTGCAGCAAGCGACTCCAGCTACCGCTCGGGCTGCTCTCATTTCATCCCCGTGTCCCCTGTGTCGACGGCGTCCCAGCGGCCGTATCGGCATTTTTCTTTTCTTTTTAATTCAAGAAAACGATACTCGAGGGATGCCCGTATCACAGGTGTATCGTGTGTATCGGCATATCGACCACGTCGTGCACGCGGATACGCCAAGTCTGGCCGCATCAGTGCTTCAGAGGGTAGACCTGCCTCTTCCTTGCAGTCTATTCACAGCAAGTGAATGGTGGTAAACTCTAGTCATCTTATTTAATAAATATCACTACCTCCTAGAATAAATTATTCAACAGGTCAACTTAATCTAATGAAATTTTATTTTATATTATAAATGACGATGATATACCGTGACATATATATCTGTTGCTTATGCTTACCCAGTTAATCGCGCTATGCTATGTAAGGTTGAAAGTACAGCAATGCGAGCATCACACCATTGAGTAATGCTTTTCCAGTGCTGCACTAATATATCCTTCACAAATAACAGCTGCACTCTGTCTGCTCAGTAAGGTCATCTAAAAGTAAAGATATAATATTGATGCAAAATTGGAAAACAATGAGCTGGACATTTCCCCCCTCATGTTTTTAAGAAAGAAGAGCCTTTGTGTATTAATATGTGTCAGTATTTAATAAACATCATGGACTTAAATGGTGTATAATTGCCCATTATCATGTAAAATTGGTATGCTACCATGATCTCTGAAATTTATATTTATTATCTACATTTTTTTTACGGAAATGCTAAAAAACTGACATCAGTTTTTTAGGCATGGCAAATCGAATGTTTTTCATGGCAATATATATTGGCGTGCGGATGACAAATTTAGTTTGCAAGCATGGCAATTTCCTGGCAAAAAATGAACTGGGGCGGATTTTCCATGCTCGCCAACTAAACCTGCCATCCTCGGCGAACATAAAATGTCATGAAAATCGTTTGCCGTGCTTAAATATCTGATGCTCGCTGGATATCCAGGTCCTTTTTTTAACTGCTAACTGGTGATACCGACCTTACTTCGTAGGTGTTTCCTGAAGCTAACCATACAGTTTTGGAGCAGCTAAGTAAGGTGGATTGCATTGTATATGCGATGGGGTCGCTATTTACATCAGTTTGTCCATCACTGGTAACCAGTCTGCTTTTGGTGTTACTTTAAAATTACGATTAATTCTCTCTTGAAAACACAAAAACTTTGTGTCTCAGTGCATTGATAGAAGTAAATAGTTTTGGATTAGAAGCCTAAGACTGCTTAGGACGGCAACAAGTCCAATAGGCTGGAAGCACGGCCCGCCACCCATACCTGCTGCTGTACTGTACAATTTACAAGTACAATTTTATTTAAAAAAATTCAGCATATTATGAGATGTCTTCATTCTATACTTCTGACGACTTCTACATGTTAGTAGTGGTTTGACCTGTGTTTGACCATGTACTGTCCGTTAAGGCGCACAATTAATTGACCAGGCTTGGCTTTGAGCCTTTTACTATTCCTTATGTTTTTGGCTTCAACTCGCGTTCTGATATGAAAACCATATGCAGGTACTGCGTGGCATTGGTGAGACTATAGCATCAAGGTCCATTCCCAAGGTAACTATACTAAGTCACTTGGTCAGATTTACGTGCTTAATTGCAGTATTATGTTGGTCCCTTTTGTCTTTGTTTCATTGTTCTATCTCCTTATCCACTCCGTTACCAAAACCTGATTAACACTTTGCCACTTGGTAAGATAGGAGGCCCTGAGTGATAAGGGACGGGTTTGATGTTGACCTTAGGGTGACAATTAGATGGTTGATTCATCCACTGTTGAGTCTAGGGAGAGACGTACCCGTGGTTCTGTGTGTAGTGGCTTGGGGTGAATTGTTGTGTGTGGCGCTCCCTCTCACACAGACAGCAGCGCCTCCATTTCTAGGTCACAGATCTGTACTGGGCCTTATGGGCTTAAGTGGTGATGGG